CGTGCTGGGCCAAAGATAGTAAATGCTGAATGCATACACATTAAAGTCACCCCAGTAATTAATTAATTTGATAAATGCCTAAAGCTGGGATTAGACCTCAGTCTATTTATAAAGAAATTCTGAAGCATGTTCTTAACATCTTCGGAAGAAAGTTAATATGTCACAGTGAGCTGTCCTGTGTCTTGTACATGTGAGACTGCTTTTACCACTACAGAAATTCATGCTTACACTAAATGATTTAGTATCCACATTAACAGTGCATGTTTTTGTATCATCTACCTAAATCTCAGCTACTTTATTTATGGACTTTAACTGGTGAAAAAAAAAAGAATGATTCAAAAAAAGTATCAGCTTAGAAAACTGACAAATATGCAGCAAAAGATTATGGAAACATGCAGTGGTTTTGCTAAAATTAACAACAGTAAATAGAAAAATGTAACTGATGTATTACCAGTTTGTGCCATAAATTTAGCAGCATCAGCTTGTTCCTGAGGGACCCTTTTCTCATGAACAGATCGAGGTCGCTGACTTTTAATTGTATGATCTCCCATCATTCCAAATTCTAAAGACAGAATAAAGGTTTATGAAAGCTTGTGTGTAGACATTTCTCAAAAGACACATACTGTCTCATGCAATATGTTCCTAAACATACCTGGAAGTTGCTGGTAAGAATCAGGCAAGTGATCATGGCAGTTAACATCAACTTAACTTTGCTAAGCTCAGCTTTTAAGAAATACTTAAATTCATGTCTGCAGATTTTCCAACATGATTTTATTGTATGAACCAACATTCAATGTAGTGACATATACTATAAATCAGCTGTATGACACGGGACAAAAACAATTCTTCAGATGCAGACATTTTATTCCTGTATTTGGGAATCAGTGCAAACCACATCAGAAAATGACTGTGACAGTGTTAGACATTGCTGTTCTATGGCAGAGCCTGCTGCTCCTCCAGAGGACTTCTATTTCTGCACTCATCTTTCAGGCTGATGAAGCCTTCAACAGAGATAACGAGTCATCTTTGGGAATGGTGGCAATGCGAAATAATAATCATTTAGCCAATGAACTGGTTAATTTTTAGGCTGAATCCAGCAGAACAAGTGCTTGTGATCTGTTTCCTTCCTGAAACCTCTCAGTTATAAAAACTATAGGTTATATCTTGCCCTCCCTGTTTGAAAAGAACTCCACACTGATTTTAATAGGGAAACCTAAGAAAAATCAGTGCCACAAAAGGCCCAGAGTGTGGGAGGTAAGAGTGCTTCATTTTTTTTTTGTCCTATCACTGTTGTCATTTTTCCCCTCTGGTCCTGTGCAAACCTCCTAACCTTCTACCTTGGCTCCATTTTTCCCTTCTGTGATGAAATAGAGAGGCCTTTGCACTTAGAGGGTAACTGCTGCATCTTCAGCAGAGCTCCCTTTGATCCTCCCAGGCACACACTGCTGTCCACAGCTCAGTGCTAAATATTCTCTTTCTGCTGGGACTTTAATCCAAGAAGTGTGTGCTGGGAAATGTGGATTAACATTGAAACTACTTCAACTACAATCACATGAAGTTTCTGATGAGGCAGAAGGTGTCTTAAACACTAGTAGCATAATCATTAAAAAAATACCTTTCTGATGGAAGGTTACTTTGCATATGCAAAATTCTCCCCAATTTGTAAAGGCATGAAGATAATAAAACTTACCTTTCTGCCTCAAAAGATGCAAAACATGATATAAGATGTAAATGTTACTAATAAATATTATTTGCAAACACATTGTCTTGATAAATCATTCAACATATTTAAATTTCTATTTAAAGAAACAATAGAAGGTGAACTGATTTTTAGGGGGTCAATCAGCAGAAAGAGAGTTTTTCCTTTCTAGTAAATTATTAATATATCTCTCCAAATTAGTGCTTCTTTTTGTAAATATTCATTAATGGCACAATTTAAAATATGAATTTAATTATTCATTTGAGAACAGCAATGCAGTTTGCATTCTAAACAGAATATCTGAAAATCTAGTTAATAAAATATATTTTGAGGATTAAACATTCAACATTTTGGATACATCCCAGATATAAATATAAAAGATAAGTACATTTTATATATATATGTATATACACACAAACATATTATATATATATGTATGTGTATATATACATATATGTGTTAAAACTTTTATGAGTATATCTTTACAAAATACACCTTTTCTACAGCTCCTCTGATTTAAGATAGCTTTTTATTCTTTGGGAAATCTCTTACTAGAATAAAAATTTGACAGTCAATATTCTAATGCAAATCATGATTAGAATATTTTTACAAGGTGCAGCACAGATGACCATTTGAACTGTAATTAATAACAGGGTGAAGGCAAGAGACTACATAGCTTTTCCTCTGAAGAGGCTGTTACAGCAAGGCATGTTTGCTCTGAGTTTGCTGCCTGCAAGATCTCTGCTTGGCAGGCAATTTGGAGGGTATGGCACCATTCTTGCAGAAGACTTCATTCTGTTTTTTAAGTTACAGACAGAGTGCAATAATGGGAGACCTTTGCTAGAGGAAGGCTTTCCAGAGGCATACAGAGGTGGTGAATATTCCAGTCCCAGTCCTGCAGCAGCTCGTGCTGGGCACAGGCACATGCAGTGTCCTGCAGGACAGAGACCACTGGTGAAGAGGGAAAGGGAAGTCTGGGAGATCAGTTTTCTGGGCTGTGGATTACACCAGATGTAGCTCCATTCACAGCAATGGAGTTACTCACAAATACCACCAAGCATGCTAATCATGCCTCGATTTTAATTTTTTTTCATTTTTCCACTTAGCAACAACACATTTTTAATTTACACATTCAATTCACTTCAACTATTGCTGATGGTCTTTGAGATGCACTTTCAGCTAATCTCCCTTTGATATGGTAGGCATTTATATAGTAAGTATATATGAAAGATAAATGTTTCATTACAAAGATAAAAATATTTCTTCCTAAGTTTTGTCAAAAAATGGAAGCAGACTTATGCAGTGCTCTCATTTTCATATTCGGCTGAAGTACTTAACCAAATGCAGCATGAGAACAAAAGCAGTACCAGGAAATGCAGTGTACTGGCATGGGTGAGGCCTCATTAAAATTCAGGCCTCATGAGAAAAGGAAAAAAAAAAAAGAGTCAAGTACAATTTTGTAATGGGATCAGAAATGTCCACTTTCTGGGTATAAGGACAAACAATGGTCTTAAAATTGTTTAATTTAAGAAGCTTAACAGTAATGATTTTTTTAATGAATCATTTTATAATAGAATATCTTACTTCAGTGACTGCCATAGTGGACAATAAATACTAAATAGAATAAAACTTCCCTCCATTTTCAGCTCCTAGGTAATGAATGGAGAAGATGAACCCATCACGCATTTATTTTCCCCTCAATACTTCACAGAGAAGTATTTAAATGCTTTCTGGTCTGGGAAAGCATTTTAACCCAAGTTAGCTTAGAGTATGATTAAATGGCTCAGTAATTTCAAGGACCTGTTTGTGTGGGAAAGGTGGTAAGAACCATCTTATTCTAGACAGTATCTGACAGAGAGGTGTCCTGCAAGGTCAAGTCAGCATGATTCAAACCTGATGTCTGAGATATATTATTGGCTGTTCAAATTGACATTCTGAGTAAAGGAATTTTTCTCATTCTCACTCTTCTTTACCTAGTTCTTGCTGCTGAAAACAAGTTTTCTAACCCAGAAGAAGATATTTTTGTAGACATCAGTTTCTGAACAGAATTCTCTTGCTGATGTCTGTCCTAAATTTTCTTTGGGTGAAACAGGACAGTCCCTTTCTGCTTTTATCTCAAACATTGATATCAACCATATTGTTTCATTAAATAAAAGGGGACAACAAAACCTTTCAGCAACAAACAGGTACATGGTCTAATCCAGGAATCTGCAGTGTGACTCTAAGTTAGGCCTGGAAACACAAAAGGGTTTTAATACTTTCTACTTCATTGTTCATGCTGCAATCTAAGAGTGTGAAGGTAAAACTCATAAATACCTCAAAATATAAATAACAAATAGCAACATGGAGAACCTTGAATGGATCATTTTAACCAGACCATGACTTATAACAAATCATAACACATTCCAAACATTTGTGGTAGAAAACCTGAGGTTTAGTTATCTGATTAAAGAATTTATCCTGCTGTCAGTGGTCCTTTGGTGGCTACAGAAGTACAGGAGTTTCCTGCAATAGGATGCATATTTTATCTCTCCTCAGCTGTACACAATGGATCAATAGTTCAAAGTATTTTAGCAATGCATAGATCTTAATATGGAGGTGATGTATCATTTGGTTAAGCATTGGAACAGACTGCCCAGGGAGGTGGTGGAGTCACCATCACTGGAAGTGTTCAAAAATGACTGGACATGGCACTTAGTGCTATGGTTTAGTTGGCGTGGTAGTGTTTGGTCAAAGGTTGATGAACTTGGAGGTTTTTTCCAACCCAAATAATTCTATTATTTCATTATTTCATTTTACATACAACCTGGGGGCATTTAATACAGTTCCATGCCTTCCAGAATTGGAAAAAAAAAAATAAATTTGAAATTCCAGAGTTTACAGTTGAGTATTATTTGCAACAACTCTTATCACTAGTCCCATTGGCTTTACCTTTATTTTTATGTTATGTTATGGGAATTTTTATTCCTATTGAGTAACCTTTTTAGTTTTTAAAGGAGAAGCTAAAATCTTGCGGCCAGTGTAGGTGTACGTTTTTAGGAGAGAAGAGAGGTGCCATGTGCTCTCTGTAGGAACAAAGAAGAAAAAAACATCTGTTAACAGTGTAAAAATGCAAACTAGGAAGACTGAGCAATACAAAAGAAAAATACCAGCTTTGCAAGGTTCTACTCACCAAGGCTAATCTTTGCTTTTGGACAAGTGGATAATCATGAAAGTTAAGCTATGTGTCAAACAGATTTTATGCCTAGGCTGTTTAATAATATTTGTAACTTACATATATATACTTGTCATCAGATGACATTATAAACCATATTGGTTTGGCTTTTATGGTTTTTTTTTGTCACATTTCATGGGAACTACCCAGTGTATGTGTTTGATCTGGTTATAGCTGCACCATCTAGTATGAATTGTGCTATTTATGGTGCAGAACACACTGGCATGGATTAAAAAATATTTTTTTTCAGAGTAATAGTTGCTGATGACAATATGAATGAACTGTTGAGCTGAAAAAAAAAAAGAAGTGATTCTGAGACCTCTAGGGTTAGCCCTTTAGGACATGCACAACATAAAGGAATCTCTGAGAGCTGTGGAGTGTCGTCAGCTTTTCCAGAACCAAGGTGAGATGGTGAGCAGCTCCCTGAAGGCTGATCAGAACCTTCAAAGCAAGGAGAGGCAATCGATCCCCCAAAGTAACTGTCACTTTCTTCTCTCTCCCACAGCACTCCAGCAGTGTGCTCCATACTATCCTACCCAATCCTGAACTGTAAATAGTCAAGTGAGTGTTTTCAATTGCTCTTGACTACAGAATGAATACTAAAGGTTTTGCAGCCAGAATGTGAATTAATGAAAAGTGTCTCGTGTAC